AAGACACGTTCTGTGATGGATGATACCACTCATACAACAAATAAAGTGTTGTCAAACACAGTCAAACACATGAGCAACATTGTTGTTCCTCACAGAGGTCTTTGCTGTTGTACTACCAATAACAGCTTGCTGTTTGCAGCAGTTGTGTGGGTTAGATACTTGTGGGTGGGGTGACAGTGGCTAAAGCAGCGAGACTGGGTTGCGGTTTCTGGTTCGAGCCTTGCAAGGAATTGGATGTGAGCCGTATACATAGCATAATGAAACACGGTCAGCATAGGAATAGAAAACAGCCCAAAGTCAACGCCACTAACAATGAAATTACTGTTTACAAATATACTATACTTGTTTGTGAGACCTGGTTCTACACTTTATACAAATTGATCTGAAAATGACCAAAAAGTGTACAGTATATGGGATTGAAACTTCTCCAAGACTTCTAGAGATTTGTAAATTTCTAATTGAATATTATCTCTACTCTTTAAGACTTGCTTTGGATTAAAGGGATAGTTCACTTTGAAATAAATGTTTGTCATGTTTTATCTTACCTCAAGGGCATCCAAGATGTAGGTGTCTTTGTTTCCGCAGTAGTTTCAATTTTGATATTTTTAGGTCAAACCGTTGTTGTCTGTCAGTCATATAATGGAGGTCTATGGTCACCACCTCAAGACCATGCACAGAAAAGTCCAAATTAAACATGATTTAATGACTCGTAAATGTAAGTACACATTGATGGCCTAAGACACGGAACGAACGGTTTGTGTGAGAAAACAAACAAGTATTTATATCATTTTTACCTCTTGTAACCACAGCCACGTTCAAGTGATCTGAGGGCACGGGCGCTTCGGTCTGCGCAAGTGCTGGAAAAAGCGCCCGTAGTGATCTCTCGCACGTGTACGTCACTCATTGTTTACACAGATATTTTGGAAGTGCTACCCTTCACTGTAAAAATCTAAACATATTTAGATATACAGGAAATCGCAATGGAAGACGATATCGATATATCAACAGACAACGTTGAATTTTTTTTTGCAAACGCACGAGAGATCACTTCCGCTGCTTTCCAGCGCTTGCGCAGACCGAAACGCCCGTGCCTTCAGATCACTTGGACGTGGCTGTGGTTACAAGAAGTAAAACTATATAAATACTGTTCATTTTCTCAAACAAACCGCTCGTTTCGTGTCTTAGGCCATCAATGTGTACATTTGCGAGTCATTAAATCATGTTTAATTTGGACTTCTCTGTGCATGCTCTTAAAGGATTAGTTCACTTTTGAAAAAACTTTTGCTGATAATTTACTCACCCCCATGTCATCCAAGATGTCCGTGTCTTTCTTTCCTCAGTCGAAAAGAAATTAAGGTTTTTGATGAAAACATTCCAGGATTTTTCTCCATATAATGGACTTCAATGGGAACCGGATGGTTAAGGTCCAAAAGACAGTTAATAACTGTTTCAGATGCAGCTTCAAATGTCTTTAAACGATATCAGACGATGAATAAGGGTCTTATTATGCGAAACGATCAGTTATTTCAAAGCTTATTCCAAAAATGTAACTTTTCTAAGGACAAATGCTAGCCTTGTAATATATTGTGAGGCGCGTTTGCAACGTCACGTAATACGTAATTACGTTCAAAAGGTCACGGGCGACGTAGCCGGAAGTACAGAATCAAAATCGTCCGACATCGTTGTTTTACCTTTTAATTCCTTTTTTGTAAACGGCGTTTGAGTTAGTTTTCACGTTCAACCTATGCGTTCAACTTGTAAACACTCTGACTCTGTAGTTCCGGCTACGTCGCCCGTGACCTTTTGAACGTAATTACGTATTACGTGACGTTGCAAACGCGCCTCACAGAATGGAGAAAGGCTAGCATTTGTCCTTAGAAAAGTTACATTTTTGGAATAAGCTTTGAAATAACCGATCGTTTCGCATGATAAGACCCTTATTCATCATCTGGTGTTGTTTAAAGACATTTGAAGCTGCATCTGAAACTGTTATTAACACTGTCTTTTGGACCTTGAACCATCCGGTTCCCATTGAAGTCCATTATATGGAGAAAAATCCTGGAATGTTTTCATCAAAAACCTTAATTTCTTTTCGACTGAGGAAAGAAAGACATGGACATCTTGGATGACATGGGGGTGAGTAAATTATCAGCAAAAGTTTTTTCAAAAGTGAACTAATCCTTTAAGGTGGTGACCATAGACCTCCATTATATATGACTGACAGACAAGAACGGTTTGGCCTAAAAATATCAAAATTGAAACTACTGCGGAAACAAAGACAGTTTTGTTGAAGAGCAGAAAGTGTCTGCTATGTCTACCAACATTTAGACTGAAATATGATCTCTCTCTACAGATCTGTGAATAGTAAAGGCACGTACTGTTTCGATTATATTTAAGAGTTAACTTGATTAATGAGAATGTCCTCTGTCCTTCTACTCTCAGCTAAAGTGTGCGACGACGAGTTCCTCCTGTGTCAGAACGGCGGCACCTGCGTCCAGAACCATAAGTGCGTGTGTCCGGCCGGCTTTAAGGGTGTTTTGTGTGAGCAGCCGCGCTGCCAGGGCGAGAAAGGGTGCGACGGCGCATCGGCCTGCTACCTCAGCACCATCACGCTGCTGCTCTGCCTTCTAGCCAACAGCCTGCTTAAAGCCAGCGCCTAGAAACACATCTTAGTCCTGATATCCACCCTAGTGTACGCAGGCCAAAGAGCTGAACCCTGTGGACGGAGAGGCGGTGGCCTGAACCCCGTACGGACCCAGCCTCACGATGCTGGAATGTTTTTTTTCGGAAAGGGGCGGAGTCAACGCTGAAGTCAAAACGCCTTCATGAGACGAGCAGCTTAGCGCTTGTCTCCTAGCATCACTGATCGACTGAACTTTATACCAAAAACAGAAAAAAGAAGTTACGTTCTGTTTCAGTTCACTCAACACACAACTCAAGTGGAGAAATATATAGATGAGGTTTCATTTCCTTTGCATTTCTACTTTCTCTGTAGTTTCGACGCTCACTGGGATACAAGCACTGCACTTAGCCAGCTTGTTTTAACGGACAACAAACAGTCGATATCACGGAAGCCTACTTATGCCAAGTTATTCTTCTTCTCTTGAAGACTTGTTTTTACATTTCCTTTCATTGCTGCATTTTCCTCGCATTTTATTGCCATTGAGGTTGTAACAAGTAGATGAAACCGATGGAAAAGATGTTTAGTACTGCTAGTATGAAGAACGAATGTCTCTAGCTTGTGTTTGAGATAATGTTTCTGGAATGTAGAAAGAAGTTTTAAAATGTCACATTGAACAAATATATATATATATATATATATATATATATATATATATATCGGTCTATCTGAAAGGAAATATGAAGTATTGTATATGATGATTATTATTTCACTATTTTTTGTAGAAATTGTTATTTTTGTTCAGAGTAAATGTTACATTGTAAAGACATTGCAGCCTTTATTGCAGTGCATATGGTATTCACACCATGGTAAACTATATTTGATGATACAGCAGAGTGCATCTCTAATATATTTGGAATATTTCTTCATTCATATCATCACATTTAAATAAAGCATACAACGATTCATTACATGCACAGCTTTAGCTCAACGTAACCCGCACATCATCTTGATACTGGCATGTATTCATCTGTGCAGATATGATCATTCCAGACTGCTTATTAACACACTCCTATAATGAGACCAGTTATATAAGCACATTCCTAAAGCACAAAGTCTCTCAAACCCCAAACAGACACTAAATAATTACAAAGCACAGTAAAAATGCATCGCCAATCCCCACAATTAGAATGGCCATTCAGGTGCACAATTAAAAATGCATAATCAAAGTCAGCACATCATATATCATGCAAACAGGTTCTTTTTAAAATAGTTATTTTTCCTTCTGTCAATCTCAAAGAAATGCCAAAATCCTCAGCGGCTCATGGGCTTTTTGATGTATTTCATATTTACAAATGCTTTACACTCATGGTGAGCCAGGGTAAATAAAATACTATGAATACATATTATAAATGAATAAAACCTGACAATCAGAAAGCACAAAGTGATACGAGTGAATTGTCTTTCTTTAGTCCTTCTGAATGCATATCAAAGCTTTAACAGCATATATTTAGTGCCTGATGCAGCATTACACCAGTACAACAGTCACTATAGCTAATAAGAGTAATTCATATCAGGCCATTTTTATTTGCTTAGAAAGTTGCATAAGGTGAATCAGCTGTATTTACTGTGTGTCTACAGACCCAGATTCAAATGTGCTGAGCCCACCTGCACTGAAATAAATGTATAAACCCTTAATAACACACATCTTGAGTCAGCAGAGCTAATGCCAGGTGGAGATTTTTGCTTACTTGAAACAAAGAAATAAGGTTCTATCCAAGCACGAGTTAAACAAGCAACGGAGTTCACTGTACTAAAATGGCCCCCACAGTCACCAGATCTCATCCCAATAGCTTCGGGTCCCACAAATCTCCATCAACTGCAAGATGCTATTCTATCAATATGGGCCAACATTTCTAAAGAATGCTTTCAGCACCTTGTTGAATCAATGCCACGTAGAATGAAGGCAGTTCTGAAGGCAAAAGGGGGTCAAACACAGTATTAGTATGGTGTTCCTAATAATCCTTTAGGTGTGTGTAGGCTGCATGCTATAAATAGCATAAAACATGTTATGCAATAAGCAATGGAAATTCTACTTATTGCCCAGGTAGTTATCCAGGTATGTTATACAATTGTGTTTCTTACAATCGAATAAATTGTAATTTCTTCAACTGTAAGAAGTTCATTGTTTTAATATTGTAACCATATTTCAATTAAGTTCACCTAATTGTGACAGTATTAAAAAATAATAATGTAAATAAATATTATACACTACATTTAGAAGCGTTTGGAGTATGAAAATGTACTGCATAGTAACTAACTCCGTAACTCTAATTTTGAAACTGCTACTGCCTGTTAAAGAACTGAGCGACGTCATAGACATGCGACTAAATGAACTATGCACTTGTTCAGCACATAGCTGATGGGACTGACTCACATGAGGGCAAAATAACAGCACGCCCATATTATTTAGATTAATTCATTAACTCTATCTATTAAACGTAAACGATGCATCGTGTTTTCTGCTCGCGGTGGGTTTTATCCGGGCTGTCACTGACAGCTGGCATAGGCATCGGCGTCACCTTGACAGCAGCCAGCGCTGATCTCCGAAATAAAAGCCGGGACACGAGCCACAGCCGGGGACTGCTGGACCGCGTGCCGGTCATCCCGATACCGAGCGTCGAAGCAGCGTCAGAGATCAGCGCATACCAGCCAGGACAGGTCGCTGTAAACAAATCTACAGCTGTGATGAAATACGGTTTCCCTTCACTGTCCAACGTCAAGAGCAGAGAGTCTTACGTAACCTCATACGACCCCAGAAACAGGACAGCAGCGTGGGTCATAGAGCAGCTCAACTCGGAGACATTAACCGGGACATCGGACAGGAAGTTCTGCGATTTTAAAGAGGACGACTCTGTTCATGTTTACCATAGATCGACCAATGCGGATTACCGGGGCAGTGGGTTTGACAGGGGTCACCTGGCGGCAGCAGCCAATCACAAGTGGAGCCAGAAAGCCATGGATGACACCTTCTACCTGAGCAACGTGTCGCCACAGGTGAGTGACCACTGGAACTCTTCATAACTGATCTCACTGCAAACACCCGCTAAGGAAATACAATGCATTTAACTAATTTTATTAACATTTAATAAAATTGTAATATTTTATTTCTTAATAATTAGTTTATTATTATATATTATATAATTTACGAGTTTATATACATGTCTAATCAATTAAGATTTTTTTAGAGTAGCTATATCTAAAAATGAATATTAGGTGGTATTAATAAGCAATGTTTAAACTTCAACCAAAAAAGTATTGAACTCATTTTTGATTATTTATTAATATATATGTAAAATAAAATGTATCAGAAAATAGATGAGATCAATGTTTAAAATGGATCATTTTATTGTATTTATCAATAAATAAATAGCTTATTATTAATTATTAAAAACCTTTACTGAATTTACTTTAACTTTTTTTGAAAAACTTTACTTTACACTCCTAATCAATTAAGAAAAAATATATATTCTAAAAATATACAAGAAAATAAATAAAAAATCTTCCGTTGTGTGTTTCTTCAACTTGTCATTTCATCATACATTTTTTAACACCCCGTGAGACCAAATGAAACATTAAGCTGAAGTTCCAATAGTCTTTTCTTCCCTATTGTGACATTGATTAAAGCGTTGAAGGGCACAATAATTCACATATTTACCAATAATTGAAACGGAAGTGATTCATAAATTCAGAATTTTGCACCAGCCTGGTGTTTTTATTGTCAGGAACTGAATTCTGCAGTAACATAGCTTTACAGCAGCACCCTATGTTATACAATACATAACACCACCAGTCATTTAAAGATTTTGCTCAGTTGTTTTCTATTTGCATGGGTAATAATTATGGCTAGTAATTTGTGGATATCTTTCCCCACAGAATCCTCATTTAAACCAAAATGCATGGAATAACTTGGAGAAATATTGTCGCTCTCTCACCAAGCATTACCAGAATGTGTTTGTGTGCACTGGACCACTCTACTTGCCCCGGTAAAAGTCTGCACAATTAACCAATTATTATATTGGAAACAAAACAGATTATGCCATAGCAAAGCTCACTGCTTAAAGGGAGAGGTCATCCAAAAATAACAATTCTGCCGTCATGTACTCGCCCCCAAGTTGTTCTAAACTGTATGAGTTTCTTTCTTTTGTTGAACACAAAAGAAGATATTTTGAATAATGTTGGCAACCAGATAGTTTCTTCCATTTTAATTCTATTGAAGTCAATGGGGACCAGCACCTTTTGGTTACCCTCTTTCTACTTTTGTGTTCAACAGAATAATGACAAAAACAAAGAAAAGGTTTCAAACTATTTGGGGGTGAGTAAATGATGAGATGCATTTTCTTTTTGGGTGGACTATTTCTTTAAATCAAATGTAATATCTGGCTCCTGAGACAACCACTGATCTAGATTGTTCAAATCAGCTATATGTCTAAAATGCAAGATGTTTTAAGACTGTTTAATCAATGAAAACAACCTAATATTCTCCTCCCTGCACCTACAGACAGGAACCTGATGGGAAAATGTACGTGAAGTATCAGGTTTTGGGAAAGAATCATGTTGCCGTGCCTACTCACTTCTTTAAGGTGGTGATTCTGGAAAAGCCGAGAGGAGACGTGGAGCTGCGGTCCTATGTGATGCCCAATATGCCAGTTGATGAGAAGATCCCACTGGAACGCTTCCTGGTCCCCATTGAGAGCATCGAGAGAGCGTCCGGACTGCTGTTCGTACCGAACATCATGAAGAGGACCAGTGGTCTGAAAGCCATCACTGCAGGCCCGTGATGAGTTTACAGAGATTACTATGGACAAGGGGGAATGGAACATAATAAATCCCTCAAAATGCTTTATTAGGCCACTGTCAAATTTCATTTGTCCGGTTTCACAGACGAGGCTTAAGTTAGTCCCTCACTAAAACGCATGTTTGAGGTGCTTTCACTGAAAACAAATTGCAGACTTATCTTAAAATATGTCAGTGGGATTGTTTTGTCTCAAGATGTACATCAGTAATGTTTTTTTCTAAGGCACGTTTATAAAAACTACTTAAATGTCCTAATTTAACGGCCTAATCCTGGTTGAATCTAAGCCCTGTCTGTGAAACCAGACCAAAAAGCTACTGAGGACATTATTTAATTTTCAAGATATGAGGAAAAACTACTGAGACAGATTAGATCACTCACTGACACTCATATCATTGTCTAATGCTGTATTGGAGATCTTGTACCTGTACCTTTTTTATGTCAGACAAAAACAGGGTTTTTAAAATGAAAAATTAATCCAGCCAAAACTTTGTGTGAAGTTAGATTTTAAAGTAAACTGTGAAAAAGTTGTTAACTTCATAGTTCTAGAAAATTATTTATTTCTCCTATCGATTTACATTGATAAAAAACCTTCAGGAAGAGTTCAAAATGTAACCGACAGTGTCGACGTCATGCCAATCAATGGTCTTTCTTACATGTACCTGCATAATGAATTGTGACTGGCCATTAATTGTTTGGTTTGCATATTATTTAATATTTAAAAAGACTGTCAACTTAAACACAACTCTGTCAGAATACGCCGTTTTAAATTCAGATAATTTCACATACAATTTATGAATAAAGCAGATCACATGTACACGGTAGTAACTGTTTATTCTCCTGTGCAGTCAACAAAACCGCAGTGTCTCTGATGGGCCATTTCATTTACAGAACCAAAGCCTAAACCCTAAACTTGTCCAACTCTATTGTTTGCTACTTTCAGCCACAGCTTTTTCCTTCAAAAAACGTTGCTATGACTATAAAAAATACGGGCACTTACACTTGAAGACCACTACATGGCACTATTGTCTAAACATCACATTTAAGAGAGACTGTTGCTGAATTCGGAACAGCATACTGAATGTTACGAATTTAAAGAGATCAAGCTTTTGCCAAGAATATCGCCGTATTACACCTTATGTGAGCAAAAACATAATTCTCCATTGACGTTCATTCAAAAGTATCCATATTCTGACGAAATAATGATATATACATGACAAACATGACATTTTATTCATTACAAGTTGTACTATTGTCCAGCACTGACTGCTCATGCACTGTGAAATTAACTAACGTTACTTTCCCCCTGTCCTCAGTGTGAAGGGTCTTTGATGTCACTGTATTGCAACACTTTCCAGTGCTGTTTTATATATATATATAGGGCCTGAAATTAACACTGTCAATCTACCTGCCACATTGGCAGGTAGCCAATGAGAATTGAGTGATTCATTAGGATTTTTACATTTCAACGAAGTCCGGCATTTCGTTGGACAGCTAAAATGTGGCGGCACAGTACTGGGGTAAAAAGGCCAGCTGAAACAAACAAAAAGATGATGAGAAAAAGAAATGTAAAAGATACTTTAAAAGTGGACAATTGGCGGCAATGGCAAGGTTCATAAGCGGCTGATTTATGACAGCGACTGTTGTTTCGTAACGTTCATGCGATCAGAAAGAAGATGAGGCCCTTTTCTGACTACGATTGAATTTGCGAGTATTAAACTGTTGATGGGATGAGATAATGTAACGCTGATGTAGGCTACAGTACAATGACAGTTGCACAGATGCGTGTGCAACTGTGCATGTTGAGAGTTGGGAACCGGTGAGAAAATGTGCTTTGTTTTGCTTTCCGGTAACTTACCCGGTAACTTTAACAATAACTGAACGCTGTAACTAAAAGCTGTTAAGACCACCTGTCTACGTGACTGTGGCGGATGTTGGTGAGCCTGGGTCAGGTCAGTTTGAGTTTTTATAATAATGGAATTTGTTTACAGTAAAGAATACACAACATTATTTTGGTTTAAAAAACTTTATTTAAACTTTCGTTTGGAGTTAAGTGCGCACACTCTTTAACGTTTAGTTTAAGTTTATTCTTACCATTCTTTTTGTTTGTTTGTTTGAAACGTCTGGTCTGAGTCCCGTGAGCTGGTGCACCATCGAAAGGGGTTCACGTGGAAACATTGGATGTATATATATGGTTCCGGCTAATCGGGCCACAACCATTCCGGTTTCTTCTCCGGGGGAACTCCAAGGACTATTTTGCTTGCTTTTCTTTTGTTTGTTTATAAGAAGTATATTTATTAAGTTAAGTCATCTGATAGTATTATTTCAGGTGTTTGTTTATGTATATTGGGTTTTTTTCATAGTCGTTTATGTGTGTAATGGCCATTATATGTCTGTGTGTCCCCCTTTATGTGTTAATTGGTGCTGGCCACCAAGGTATACGTTTGTTAATTGTTTCTGTATGTGAGTCACGGCCTACCTGAGCATTGTTTCTGACCATGTCCTCCTGATGGTTATTTCCAGCAAGATAATGCACCGTCACAAAGCTCGAATCATTACAAATTGGTTTCTTGAACACTAAAATGGCCCCCACAGTCACCAGAACATCTTTGGGATGTGGTGGAATGGGAGCTTCGTGCCCTGGATGTGCATCCCACAAATCTCCATCAACTGCAAGATGCTGTCCTATCAAAATAGGCCAACATTTCTAAAGAATGCTTTCAGCACCTTGTTGAATCAATGCCACGTATAGAATTAAGGCAGCTCTGAAGGAAAAAGGGGGTCAAACACAGTATTAGTATGGTGTTCCTAATAATCCTTTAGGTGTGTAAATATATATAAATATATATTAGTTATCTAGGAATACCAAACAAGTTCGTGGAACAATAAAACAAATCAAATGCTTATTTCTGTAAAAAAAAGAACCTCAGTGATAACACTCATGGACAAATATTTAGCTTTTATTTTGAATGGCACTCATTCAAGTGCACCCATCTTGACAATGGCATTCTACATGGATATATACATTCTGTCCATAGCATTTACTTAACTTTACACAGGTGAAACAATATATATTTTTCTCAACAACATTATTATTTTTTGGACTGTACAGTAAACTAACAAATAAAGTCAGAACCTTGAAATAGCTAAATAAAACTTTAATAATTCTAGAGACAATTGTACATGAATTGCACAGAACTTTTCTTCAACACAAATGACTTCTCATATATTGGTGTCTTCTGTTCATGTATGTACATGTGGCAAAACGGTCATCGTAGCTCTGAAACATACATACAAAAGATGTAGAGGTAAAGCAGAAAATAACGTGGAGATTTTTTCTTCTTTTTGTTTTTTATATATAATCATGCCAAACAGGAAAAAGTTAAAGGTTGTCTTCCTTAAAACCAAGTGAAACTAAACAGCAGCCCTTTGACTTACACAACATATTAAGGGATGAAAAATCATTTTCTTTAGAGTTTTTTTAATGTGCTGTACTAGTCTTCAAAAGTTCATTTGACATGTTTAATTAGTTTATTTTCAATTTCTCTGTAACTAAGTTACTATAAAGGTGTGGTCACAGAGAAATTTAGGCAAAGTTCGTGGACTGTTTATTGTCAATAGCGTAGTGATAAATGAAGCAAAGCTCAAAAAAAAAAAAGTTCCTTTCAAACCAAACAGATTCCCATTGGTCAATGCAGCAAATTTGCATGATCAACCTGAACCGTTTCGAATCCTGCATGAGGAAATCGTGAAATTCCTGACCGCATGGACTCCTACTGAAATGAACAGATTTCACCCTCAAACATTTGCCAAACGGTAAATGTGACCTCATCTTAAATGTGCATCACTAGCTTCGTCAACAGCAATTGCAAAAATAATGAATGTTTTAAAACAGGTTTTCTCGAACCTCACTGGTTGAATAAACAGAAAGTCCCGCCCCCAATCACACGCCATTGGTTGATTATTTTAACATTAAAAAAAAATGACACACTTCAACTTGAAAGAAATTTTAAGTCGACATGAAATCAAAATAGCCAATTATTATTTGTTTCTGGAATATTGCAATATAGATAATTTATCCGTGTACATTATTTAAAAAATAAATCATGTGCCTTGTATTCTTTAATCAAAATAACTTCCCGTCCGAAATCGCATACTTCTCTACTTTATATTTTCTACTTTTTATATTCTCTATTTTCTGAAATCACAGTACTCATAAAAGAGTAAGCAAAAAGTACCGATGACTTACTACTTCCGGCGAGATTCTGAAGTGTGCATACAGTTGGACACTTTACTATCCCATAAGGCCATGGGAGAAGATTTGTGAATGGTGGTGACGCGACGTAACTGACGCTGGTCGGTCACATGATAATGACAACATGCCGTAAATATAAATACGTTCTATTATATAGTATCTATACAGTACGTCCAGATTATATTCATACTGCACACATTCTTACTAGAACATACTTTTTTAGCAGCCCTGAAGTAATTACCCTTTAAAAAAGAATTACCTACAATGGTAATTTCAGACGCAGCCCTCTTCTCTTCTCCGATGACGTGTTTACTAGTGTGAGGGCGGGAAAACCTGTCACTCACATGACATCACAGCAATTAGCAATCAATCCAATCAATTCCGTTGAGCTAAATCAAGCCCCGCCCTCATTCGAGAAGCTGTTCACTCGGATATACGTCACAACAGGAAAGAAAACATTATCGCGACTTCCATTTCATGTCGACTTTTTAACGTTGGACGCTGGAAAGTACTCTTCATTTTGGGGTTGTAACAACAAATACAGTTGAATAAATAAATTAGCTCAACATAATTTAAAATATAAATTAAAAATCAATTCCAAACAATTAAGAAAGAGCATTCTTTCTCTCAAGCCTGTGTGATAAATAAAAAAAAATAAAAAAATGTAGTGATAATAGAGAATCCTAAAAAATGGAGATGTTCAGTATGAGATTTATACACAAAGTGGTTCGAACCTTCCAAAATTATTGTCCCAAACAAATTGATGTTAATATTTATACATAAAGAAACACAGACAGTCTTAAAACTCCACTCCGTGAACCTGATTTGAACGAAGTTCGCCTCGTCTGATCCCGGAGCAAACGTTCAGGGTCTGCTCCGCAGGGTTGACGCAACTATTGCCGTGCTGCACCGACTCCCAGCTTGTTTGATGCAAACTGCATTTGAAGAGCAGGAAACATTACAAAAGTAAAGTACAAAAAACAGCCACGTGCCCTTCACACATCATCTCAAACCTCGGTCATCCAGTAGAAGTGCTGAATGCTATATGCCTTGTTCTTGCTGCTCTGAATAGCCTTTATAACAAGTCCACAGAAGCAGGTTTTGGTTAAAGGGTCCATTCTAATGCTATAGAAAGTGCATAGAGTGGAAGAAAGACATCATAGGGCGGCAGACACTGATTGTACTGTGACTATGATGTTGGATACGGAGTCTAATACTGGCCACGCGGACGGCAAGCAGTGCGAGGACATTTCCATCCACAGCGTTGGTTGTGATTGTAAAGAGTGTGTCGTCATCATTGCTTTATCTAGAAGTGTACAATCAGAGCATACATATAGTTTGTACTTTTTTTTCTAAATAAAGTACAGCAGACCTCAGCACGGGAAAACACACTGTACGAAAAAAAAAAGAACTCTCTTTTCTCTGAAAAGCCCATAAAAAAACTATATACATTAATGAGACGCGTCGCCTCTTATGCGCATAGAATGTGATGTTTCTCTTTCACTGTACAAATAAAAGCAAGCATTTTGTGCTACTGTAATGTAAAAAAAAAAAACATGTTTACATGAAATGTACAGATGTGTCGATCAAAACAAAGCAGAAAATAGTGTTTCGACAAATAATTACATCCTTATGATCGTTATTATCATGCTAACTATGCGTATAGAATTAGGTCGCGGCTAACTTCTGTGACCGAGTGGCTCTCGTGACAAAGGCTATAAATGAAAGATCCGTTAGACATCTTTGATCGGCTAATAATCTATTAGTCTTTATGTACTGAGTGAAACGACATTGTGCAACATCCTATCTGAATTTGTTCCCAAAGGAGTTATTTTCTTAAACCTGTATTGTTTCCGCGAGATAGCCATAGCCCTTGTCCATCAGTACTAGCCGTGTGCGTTTGCATCCACGCTAGCAGTTGCTGCTGTTCCGGAATTCTCCGTTTTCCGTGATCTGCAGCTTCGTAGGGTTGGTGGGAGAGATGCCGTTCCTCGTTTGCATGCTGTACCGATCCTTCAGCTGAGACAGAGCGCTCATTAGCCGGGCGTTGGCGGCGTCCAGGGATGCGATTCTCTTCTCCTGTGGGGAGTGACCATTCATAAAGGTCAGATAGAAGAAGGTGATTAACAGTGCATGATATTTAATGTTTAATTAAAGTCTTTCTACTCCGCAAACGGACACAAGGTGACTGGCACTCTTTGCTCTGAAACATTACAGACTAATTACACCATTAAATTAATTCATAGAGTTGAAATTAAAATTCGTGCGGCGACAGCAGTAATCTCTCCTCGCCTTTATAAAATAAAGCTATGATGTAAACAAAGTCTTTAATGATTTTGATGAGCGCTAAAGTGAATCCACAGTGGGTGGTTTTTATGCTCATCAAAATGTTTACGAGAGACGCTGATTGTCCCCGGAAGACGTGTGTGTTTATCATTAAACTTTTAACTACATTATTAATACTATTAAACCTCAGAGAGCAACTCATCACATCGTGCTGAAATCTAAACAGAACACAAGAGGGCGCTATGACCCTGCAAATGGGTAGCTGAGTGACAATTGATGCAAACGTCCAAAACCAGTGGTGAAAATGCATTTTTTTTCTTATTTAATAGAACATGATTCATTACATTATATTATCAGCATAAGAACTTGAGGGAAAAGTTAACATTGATTTCTTTTTAGTATGCAGCCCAATTGCTTTAATGACAGCAGCACTCAAGCTGACACATACTGTACTGATGATCATGTTCTACAGCCTGATTTGAGAATGATCCAAAAAGCATCTTGTGCTTTAATGGAAGCAAATCTGTTTATTTGATTAGTGACATTGAAATCTTAAATATGTCTTTAATCATTTTGTCATTTTTTTATTTTAAGTACAAGACTTTTGGACTCGTCACCAAGGCTACATTTATTTAAGTAAAATACAGTCAAATTATTATTATAATTTAAAATAACTTCTCTATTTTAATGAATTTAAAAATGTAATTTATTGTTGAGATGGCAAAGTGCTAATTTGCTGCTCAAGAAACATTTCTAATTAGTATCAATTTTGAAAACAGTTAATATTGTGGAAATATTGTGGGTTTTTTGATGAACAGAAAGTTCAAAAGAATACTTTACTGTCATTTTTGATCAATTAATGCATCCTCGCTAAATATTACTGATCTCAAACTTTTGAACGACAGTGTAAGGGAAAGTGTATATTTTAAGTCAGTTCAGTAGTTCACTTAAATAGCCCATTATCAATGAATTTTTGTATTCCTTAGTATATTCCATAAAGCTCATTAAACCAAAATGAGAAAAATGCTGTTTTAGATGGAGTGTAGTTTGTCAACCCAAATATTTTTCACTTAAATTAAGCTTCTGGATCCAAAAGCACCAGTCGAAAGACATCATGTACATTTTTTTGATTACAATAAACCTTGACTTGTCTTTAAAATGAATAAAGAAATAACACAGGTTTGAGATTTTAGATTCACCTGGGCTTCAATGATTTTCTGTTTGGAGTCTACGATGGCCTGCATGTCGGCGTGATCTTTCTTCAGCTCGTCTTCAACTGACATCAACCTAAAACATAAAATTGCCACATACATCTTTAAGCAACAGATGCTACTTGAGTGCTTAACTGAACTGTAGCATAATACTTAAAATACCTCAAAGTAAGTAAATAAGAAAATGTAATTGTAGGCATCTGGTGCAAGTGATAGAGTTGCATACCATCTGCAAACTGGTGAAAGGAAATATTGTAATGATAAATTACAACAGCTAAAGGAAGCATGTAAAGGTTAAATAATAGAGGACCCAATACTGAGCCTTGAGGAACACCACAAGTTATGACTTAACACCTGGAGGTGTAGGTACTCAGTGTAACATAGTTATCCCTGCAGCTTATAGGATCTGAACCAGTCTAAGACAGGACCTGATAGACCGTCCCAGTTCTGTAGTCTGTCGGGTAGAATCTCATGATCAACAGTGTAAGAAAAGCCACACTAAAATGTCTCATTAAGTTTATTGGCGTTGAGATATGCGTGTATGGACAATTTTTCAATTACTTTACCAAGAAATGGAAGATTAGACATTTGGTCTGTAGTTCCTGAACACAAAATACCTAATTTACCATCAGAAGTTTATCTAGGATACCTTAAGTTTCAAACAGTTAATTTTGACCCTAGTAACATCAAAATAATGTGTCATTGTTTATGAGGTTTTACAAAATTTTACTTTCTAGACTGGATCTTTGATCACAAGGCCACACCACCACCCCACATCCAAACTCTCCTGCTTCTAAAGCGGATCTTCACCTGGTGATGATGCTTTTCATCTGGAGCTCTTTGTCATCTTGCTGCTTGCGTAATCGCTCCTCCGTGTCCTCCAGCCGGGCCTGGTACTCCAGGAGCATCTTCTGGGTTTGGTCGTCCTGGCTTTTCATGCGGGATTCATACTCTTCCAGCTTCTTAGCAGAAATACGCAGCTTCTCCTGCAGGACAGCTATCTCCTGCTGATACTGAGGAAGGAAAGAGCGAATGAAGAACTCTAATAGCAGGATTATAGATCAACAAAAGCTGTGTAAAGAGGGAGTTCTCAGACGTGCACAGCTGTGGTTTGAAATGCATATTACATGAATATAGCCCTGCTAATCATCTCGTATCTGTCTGCTAAGCCTGGGAAATCCAGTAAAGCTGTATGAAATATACCTGCTACTGAATGATTAATAGATGTGTTTTGGGGCAAACCTCTAGCTCAAACTGTAAAGCTTGGTGCTAACAAAGTCAAGGTCATGGGATTAATTTGCAAGGAATGCAAGAAATGATAACAGCTATACTTTGAAATCATCAAAGTTGCTTTGTATAAAAACAACTTACAAAAATACTTTTTTTCCTGAGAATTGACTGTAGGTTGAAATAAGCTTATTTCTAAAATATATAACTCCATTGAGATTTTTTTTTTTTTATTGTTTATAGTATAAACCTTACAACAAATGTTTAATTTACTCTTGTAAATACTCTTTTCCAATGCGGTAACTGATGTTTGATGAATCTGAAGGGGGAAAAGTAACACACACAAAAAAAAAAAGTTAAAAAAAAAGTGTTAATTTCAAGTTTAAAAGAAGAAATAAAGTCATAATGTGAGATACAGTAAAAAGTCACATTTACTGGAAAAGTCAAAATTATCACTCAAAGGCAGAAGAAGAGAAATTTGCATTAAAAAAAGTCTTAATATCTTACACTATTCTGCTTTTCAAGTAAATTGATCTTGTTCACATATTTTTTAAAAAGAATTCAGAAAAACTGGTTAGGAAAATAATTTTGCTGTGTTTTTGCTTCAGGCTACTCAGAAACTAAGAAAGTGTTATGAAATGTTTTATTTATTTTATTTTATTATTAAAATTCACGGCCGATAGTCTGCTTCGTCAAGGGCTTATAGATACAGAAACTGACTGCTTTATAAATATGCAAAGACATGAAATAAAAAGCCTGTTTTTTCATTTTGTTGTTTTGCATCTCGACTAAAACGTTATTGTGGAATAAGTGCCGTTCCCTTTAGAGGATTCAACCAATCTTCACAGCATCACTTACATTAACAACTTCAAACAGCACAGATGCAGAGGGGTTTTGCTGAGGGAGAGGGTTGAGTATGTGGGTGTGCTGACTCTATGCACTCCGCCGGGTTCATTATTCATTAAAGAGCAGGGGAAAGAGACGGCAGACAAGTCTGAGCCAGGTGCGTGCTTCTTCACTTTTGCAGTGTTGTGATTTGAGCCTGTTTGCCTAAATTACAACACTAGAGAGATCAAGAGGCAACTTTATCTGAAGTGTTTTAGACTCTTCTAATAACATCAACCAGTCTGCAGTTTGACATCCACCATCTTCGTATCAGTTTAAGACAAGATGCCGTGACTAAGCAACTAGATCTGAGCTTAAAATATCCTCATGTCTTGGGGGAATACAAAATTTGGATGGTTCTGTTTTCCTTTAGTTTAGAGAGTGAAACTGGTTTAAAATATTTAAGTTAGCAATTTGAACTACAGTTCAAAAGTTTGGGGTAGATACGACTTATTAATGTTTTTTGAAAGACGTCGCTTATGCTCACTGATAAAAAAAAATACAGTAAAACAGTTGAACATTTTTACAATTTAAAATAAATATTTTAAAATGTAATTTATTGCTGTAATGGAAAACCAGATTTTTTTAGCATCATAACTCTTCAGTGTCACATGATCCTTCAGAAATCATTATGATATGTGGATTTGCAGCTCAAGAAAGATTTATTATTATTATCAATGTTGAAAACAATTGTGACCGACTTAATGTTTCCTTGCTGAATAAAAGTATTAATTGCATTCAACAACAACAAAAAACAAACAAATGCTTATATTAGCTAGTGAATATTAATTAGGTTTAGATGATTGGTCAATTCCATTCATTGGCCTAAATAATATTCATCAACATGCCGTGAAGTCACAGAAAATCCGTCACTTTCTTTCATGGTGATGGCGCAGTGGATAAGACACATGCCTTTGGTGTGAGAGACCCGGGTTCGAATCCACTGTGAGACACCAATCTGTCCCTGAGTAAGACACTTAACCCCTAGTCGCTCCAGAGGGGTGCGACCTCTGACATATATAGCAATTGTAAGTCGCTAGCGTCAGCTAAATGAATGAGGATCACCTCTTACAGCACTTCCTGACTGTGTGCCCATGGGAGACCAGTCTTGATCTCACAAACAGTGAGCCTGCTGTATTTCTGCTGTTTTTCAAGCAGCTGTACCGCAGAATAAGGTCTCATTATTACCTTTTCAGTTGGTGTGAGATCCTCCTTGTTTGGAAAGTCCTCCCGGTGTTTCGAATCTGGGTCAATTCCCTCCTGCTCCAAATATTGCACATTCATATTCAGCAGCCATGCAGCAGTGCGGTCCAACGCATTGGGATTCACAGGGGATGGAGCCTAATAAAAGTTCATTTGTACAAACACACACACACAATTGTATCATAATATGGCCATGCTAACATCCAAATGAGAAAGTTGCTATCAAATTCGTTAATTTTCACTCATCCAAAGAAACATACACACAAACAAGTGCCTAAAAACTTTTCAAGGTGACAACAGCACTTGTGCTGGCTAGAAAAAAACATTTGATCATTTTTTAATGAAGAGTCATTCAGCAGACATCAAAGGAACAGTTTGGACAATGCGAGCAGTCATTTAATCACTAGCGCAGCGCCTGCGCTCTAGCAATTAATTCTGCTTGTCTGCTCCGTTCCTTTCGCCTCTGACAGCGAGAAGGCTGCGTGTTCATCTCAACCTAAGAGCCTCGTTTGATTCTAGCGTTGCACCAAAGGGCTCATTATCCCCCGAGAGATCTGAGTGCCAAGTTGTTTTAAGGATAACAGCCGAGTGGTAGCTAATTTAGTGGTATCTAAATTAGCTATGGGAATGTTGCAACATAAAGAGACAGCTAGGGATGTGATCGGTTTTCAAATGCTATGTCTTGAAAACTAGTAACTTTGAGAAGTATAATATCTTTTCTTGATTGAGGCAACAATCACTACGATTAGGTTTATAAGACTTCTAAAAAAAGTGTGAAAAGAGTGGCGGTAGCCCTGCAAAACTTGTTGCCACAATGCTAGTTTGTTAGCATGCTGCTTGTGGTTGATGGGTTTTTCTGTTGGGTTGCTTACTGGCCCATAAATTCCCTGAGATATTTTGATCTCCAGATATGACTTAGATCTTCAATGTAAGTCCATTGTATTTTTTTTGAAATTGTATTTCAAAATATTTCTTTGTATTTTTTATGAAAAGTTTATTGTCCAGAGAAAAAACCAAGTTCATTTGCCTTAAATAACAGCAACATTTGTGATGGCATATGGAGCCTCTTAAATGATATGTGGGAAAAAAATAGACAAATTTGTTTCCAAAGATCTATTCATTCATGGCCACATTTTATTAATTAGTTCCCTTGTTTTAGTTCAATTAAGGCCACTAAATATTAATTCATGACAACGGTATCTTCTTGTTGTTGTTGTTTTTTTATTATACTTTAAGAAAAAATCTTTTCAAAATCGATTTTTGTTGAGGATATCTAGTGGTCTTTTCATCAAAAGACAAAAAAAAAAAAAAAAATTGTCGTCACAATTAACTCACTTGTTTGTGCAGGGTCCGCTGCTTGGATTCTGGACTGTCCCCTTTGGAGGACGACGACTGCTGCCTCAGTCTGGTGCCGCTGCTTGGCCAATCAGGAGAGGATGACATCATGCTTCCACTGGAGGGGCGGGGGTAGGGTGCGGTGTTGAGCATGTTGGGTGGAGTGCGGCCTCTTGTGACGGGCGGAGGTGGCTGGTCTATCCGGCGCTGTGGCCCTGCGCTGTTCTGCCGTGGCATGTTGGTCTGGTGCTGGGCCTCCGTGAGGGACAGCTGTCTGCGGGTGAACTCTCCAGAACGCCGAATGAACTCATCTCCGCTGCTGCCCCCTCCCCCACTGGCCCCTGTGCTGGACTGGCCCAGGAACGGGTGCTTTGACCCAGCAGTAGCTGCTTCCTCCGCGTTACTCTGGGAGCTGATGGAACTCTGGCATTCAGATCCCGAATCGGCCGCCGCACGGGGCGACACGGGCAATCCGGCAGCCATCTGGTACACGGGGTTCTGGAACGAGAGCGGGGCAAGCAGCTGAGACCTTCCCAGGGCGGTCTCTGTGCTCGGTGTCGTGGGGGTCTGACCTGCTCTCCTTAGTGTCGGACCGCTGGGCGTGTTGCCCTTAGCGGTGCGGGTGGTCCACACTCCCGTGCCCTGGCCGACGGAGGTCTGGCTGTCATTGAGGGGGTCGCTGAAGGAGGTGTTGGGGGCGCTCTCGAGTGAACGACTGTCCTGCAGGTCCACCATTGACAAGCTCTTGCTGCCGTTAGGGATCTGAACATCTGGCTCGTTGGCCTCCGAGTAACTGGAGCTGCGGGCCGGCGACGGCTGAATCACAGAATTCCTCGTTACAAAAAACAGATCCTTGTTTTCGGGGGTAGGCGAGGGCAGCCGAGTGAAATCCACCAACCTGTCCAAGTGGCGACAGGACAAAATTGAAGATCACAGCTGTTCTTTAATTCAAATCAAACTCATTATTTGTCAAACTAGCTCATTTGCATGGCTAATGGATGTGTGCGCCAATATGACAGATTATAGTCCAAACACTGTACTTTGACAAAATATAACAGTACACTAAGACTCATGACAAAGACTACATTAAAATAAACATGCCTTTGATTACTGAGCAAGAGGATAAACCACCCAGAAGTTTTTTGTTTTATTTTTGCACATGAAGAAAAGGAAAGTATGTCTTGTTTGGTTCTCTCCAGTCAAAACAAATCAGGATATGTCTGCTCAAGTTAACTGCATGGATTATATTACCACTTTCGACATTTTACAAGAATGCTAAACTGTTTTTAAATGATAATAATAATAAATGCTTCTTGATTAGCAAATCAGTATATTAGCCACTGAAGACTGGAGTAATGATGCTGAAAATTCAAGCTTTGCATCACAAGAATAAATTACATTTTCAAATATAAAACTATATTTAAATTTGTAATAATATTTCACAATATTGCTACTTTTATAGTCATTTCAATCAAATAAATGCAGCCTTGGTGAGCCATTTTAAAAATCTTAACCACAAACTTTTGAAAGGTTGTGTACATTTATGTATTCGGAAGATGCTTTTATTCAACATCTGACTGTCCATCCATACATTTTATTAGTGGGCCTATTTGTGTTCCCAGAGAACTGAAACCATGGCTTTGGCATTGCTAGTGCGGTGCTCTTTCAGTTGAGAAAATTAATGCATGTGTAGATCTGTAATAGATCTGAAAATAAATTATTAAAACATGTGAAGACATAATCAGATCCAATTAATCGTCTTTGAAAGCAGTGAGTGATGAATCAAGATGTAGTGCTTTATAAGAGCCCTGCTCTGTAATAGTTTCACCTTCATATTCCACAATAGAATGATATAGCTTTACTATCTAAACCAGGCTGAAATTGAAGTTTAGGCTCAACTTACCCTGTGATCTCACTGTCCATGACCATTTTCTGCAGACCAGTAGACAGGCTGCTGCTGGGTAGACTGGGGGAGCCCACGCGCTCGGTGGGAGACGACACGGGGACTCCGGTGGGGTTCGTCAAGGCTGAATTCACGTCCCGCAGGATCCGTGCTAGAGGACCCAGCTTGGTGATAGTACTCTACAATACAATGGAGAATGAAGTGTGACTGACTGGATTCAAACTTGATAAAGCACTGAACTCACTCTGGTGGGTAAAAGACAATACATCACTACAATGATTTTACTGTTCAATGGGTTCAGCGCAGAATCTTAAGGATCAATTGATGGTGTTTCTATTGAAAGTGTCATTTTAGCCAAACCGCAAGATTAATTTTAATACTAGGTTTCTAGCAACATAGTGCCTAAATATTAAAGAGGCCATATATTATGCCATTTTACAGTCGCAATTTTGTTTTTGGGGCCTGCTAGAATAGGTGTTAATAAAACACATTATTTTTCATATATTTTACATTGTTGCAGCACCTCTTTTCCCAGTCTCAATGAAGCCCATCTTTCTGAAAAGTGCAACATGCTGTGATTGATGCCGCCGACCAATCAAGTGTGTTTCTGAAATATCACACCCTTTACCATAATTAACACACTACTAACGCAACCGAGCGGCAACCTTCCAACACGGAAGTGATTTAAACTGCAATTCATCGTCTGGCTGCTAGAGACAGGGCCTAAAAGAGATACCCCCCATATTAATATGCCCCAAAAAAATATTTTTACAACATGGTTTCAAAAGTGTTTTTGGTCTATATAGCTAATTTTGCCCTTCATGACAAATGTGAGCCACTGCTGTCAGATAACCAACTCCCTTTGTACTAGACTTTATGCTTTGTAACTTTGCAGACCTTCATACTCAAACAACAACATTACACTAAAGAAACATTAAAAATGTAAAAAAAATTATATTCTCAGGTGTACATATATGCTATTTCACATTTTAGATCTTTGATTGTGGCTCTTCCAATCACATTTTAGAGCCAGTACTGTCTGTATTTTATCTTAAATGAAAATCTGTTCACTTTAGATAAACCAAACTGAGCTCTTTGTAATTCATCAGATTCTATTTTCTGATCTCAAATAATAAAGATATGTGATTTTCTGACAGAAAACTGAGAGTTATATATATTTTGCCATGAAAAATGATATTTGTTCAAACATAGGCGTTCACCTGATCGAGCTGTGAGACCGCTTCTGACAGAAGAGAATGGAGAGTGGAGAGTTCACGGCCCAGGTCAACATAACCCTCGAAGCCTGCTGTGTTTGAGATGGTCTCTGGGTTGGAGATCTCCAGCAGGAAGCGTTGCATGTTGGTCCATTCATGCTCCAAGAACTGATTCATGAAGGACATGTACTCCTCCTTACTGCCAAACCTATGACCAGACAATACACTTTGAGTTTCCTGATACAAATGTACCATTTGAAACACTTTATCAGTATGTTCACATCACTAATTGCAACCACATGAATAACATTGCTCATTTTAATACTGATTTAACCATAGTTCAGAGTATGATGCATTAAAACTCGTGATCAACATCAATTTCATTGTCATTTCAGTATGATATAGCTTTTGTTATGACACTTTTAGTAGAAAAGGTTCCATATAGTGTACTATAGAATGTTCATTTATTATCATTATTTTATATTCATTTTATATGTGTATGATTTAATTCATTTTTAGTTTTTTCATCAACTCACAGTTCCCTCAAAAACCCCAGTTTGGTAAAAAAAAAAAAAATCTTTGAGTTGCATGCATAAATTCACTCACTTGGTGAAGTTGGCAAGGTTTTGGGTCACTTTGGCAATGAGCGTGAGTGTGCGGGCGGTGCGGTCGTCGGGATATTCCTGCATGAGGCTGAAGAGTGAGGGCGACATGATAGCAGGACACAGGAAACGCAAGAAGAGAGACGCGCTGATCAGGCGTTCGCTGATGTCTGGCCGTCCTCGGCTACTGCATTCATGCCTCCAGGACGCAAACACTTCTTTGAGCTCCCGAGGAAACACGCTGGAGTGAAAAGACATTTTAATTCTGTCATTAATTATTCACCCTCATGTGATTCCAACATAGAGCCTGTAATATAACTGTCTTCAAAAGTTCATAAAAATATCCAGTATACAGGTTTGGGAAAACATGAGGGTGAATAAATGTTGACTTATATGAGTCTAGCACTGCTAAGTAACTGTTTAGTAACAAACAGACCCAAAAACAACAAAACTCCCACACAGTTCTGCATTCCCACATTGCATCACAGTCACTGTGTGCATTTAATTAAGTGTTAACAACACGGGACGACATCTTCTCCCACAACACTTTCACTGCCACCCCCTTTAACCGTTACAGCCTCCTTTCATTTTCACATCATCGCCGTAAGGACGTCCCCTGCTGCGGCCTCTAGCTCACCACAATCTGCTGTTTAAGTTGCTCTTTTTAAGACAGCAGGACACAAAAGATGGCGGTATGACATAACTGTAGCACAGTTAGACATAACCTGTGAAGATTCAGTCTAAGATAATCCTCAAAGTCAGGAAAATGACATTCCCCTGATGGAAAATCATGCACCGGGCCGTGGCAAGAGGGACTAATTTCATTTCTCAGCATGGTTTTTCAGAAACGTAGGTGATGATTGAGGAATAGCACAGTCTCTACGAGGACAGATGGAGACCTCTCACTTCTTATTAGTCTTACCATGCCAGGCTTCGTGGGCCTTTTGGAGAAATGACAAAATTCCTTATTCAGGATCTGCCTCGACGATAGCAGACGATAACCCTTCGTAAGTCTAAAAATGTTTTTATTCAGCATTTGAATCTATTCGGTATGCTTATTATTCAAAGTGACTTACATTGCAATCAATTTATATTAGTGCTGTCAAATATGTTAAAGCAAAAGTTTGTTTATATGTAAACAAACATGTGTATATGTGTTTATATTTGTATACTACACACACATACATATTATATATGTGCTGTCAAATTGATTCATCGTGATAATATATGATATATTATTACGATTAATCAATTTGACAACACTACTATTTATATAAATTAAATAGCCTACCTTTAATAAAAAATTATATATATATATATAATTTCCTTAATACATATCTTGAAATGTAGTAATATTTATATGAACACCTTTATATTTGTGAATAAATTAAACCTAATTTTAATATATTTCATAAAATGACATTTACAGTTACTATAATCACTTTACTATATGAATACATTTATAATTGTATCTAAAATTAATACTACATAATTTAAATATACAGTATTTAATATATATATATATATATATATATATATAAAATATTTTAATGTAATATTTTCTGACATTTAAATTATTTAATATAATCACTATGATTACTATAATCATTTGACTATGAGAACGTTTACGTAAATTTATGTACACTACCACTCATCCAAGAAAGGAAGTAAAGTAAATCGATCATATAAGTGTAATATATGACCACTGCATAAATGGTGAATTAAGTTTAGCATAATTACAACTTCATATTGACCAATCAGCATTCAATAGCAGAACTACCCATTTTAAATCAATTAATGAAGCATGTTTCCAAATGAGTTGTGAGCAGGCGAATTTGATCTCATTACCAGTAAGAGTTAATGATCTTGCAGAAAGCCAGCTCACAGCACATCTTGAGGTTGCTCTGGTGCTCGTGTAGGTCGCTGGAGGAGCACTTAGATGAATCCACCTCACAGTTCTCGTCTGACTCATAGAGAGCTTTGATGAACTCTCCTGGAACAAACAAAGTACACAATGCGCAAAACCTCATTTAACAGTGCTGTGATGCAGGTCAAATGTTAAAACTACAGCTAATGCTAAAGTAACAAAACTTTATCATTAGAAATGAACAGTTGCCTACTATTAAAGATGTTTAAAATAATGTACTTGAATAAACTGGAAATGAATCATTGACTCGTTTTGTAATAAGACAAATGAATCTAACAAAGACTTGGTTTAAAGGTGCAATACGTAGGTGATTCTCCACAGAAACATGTTTTTATTATGCTGGTTGAAAGTCTCTTCACATACTGAGAGCACTCACTATGTTAAGCAGTCTAAATGTATTTATATACATATATATAATCTGTCGAAGGGGTAGGACCATAAAATGTTCCTTCAATCATTGCATTCGGTCAGTCAACGCGTGTTTGCATACCCCAGCGCAGCCTGTTCACGTAGACATGCAGATACTGCGAGAATAGCAGGCAAACAGTTGTTTACGTTCATTATTGTAGTACTTTGACTCACTGTAGTGTAATGTTTTCTCACCAGTGATTGACACATGATCTAATACAATAACGTTGTCTCTGATCGTCTGGCTTCTGGTTTGTGCGCGCTCATGTGTTTTAGGGGGAGGCGTGGCTTTGGACGGCGATTTGAAGGGAGAGTGGGATTGTATGCTAGCAGGCTAAAGTTAGCATTTCCCAGATCACCTATTGCACCTTTAATTCCGTAATGCTCAAACATTAACCAAATAATAATTGAAACTAAGCTGTTGTAAGCTTCAACCCTTTCTCACAGACTATACTTTTAAAAGTAGTTTCTCAGCGTCAAACAAGCGCTTCTGAGGGAAACCGAACCTAAAGCATTCCCTCCGCACTCGATTGTGTGCTCATATTCGACTTGATATCTTAAATAATTGAACAGAACTTCAAAAACACAGACTACACACAAAAAAGCAGTAAATTATTGATTCTTGATTCTCCCAAGCCTATTTGATGGACTAAAATCCCAACGGGAATTGTGAGGAAAGCATCGGACTGCTTTCATTTCAATGACAATTAAATACACATTTCACAGAGACATGTACACAAAGTCAGTGTTTTTACCTAAAGCGTCTTGAAGGTACTTCTGTCCCACTAGTTTCAGGTACTCCTCTATGGCTTTAGTGGCCAGTGTGTTCTCCCGGAATATGAGATGCTCATTGTCTCCGCAACGATCCACCTCAGACATCATCAGATCTGTCAGAAAGTCCTGAGGGGACAAAACATTCAAATGTCTTTATTATGTTCAGCTTTTGTTGTCAAACTGTTTGAAATGGACCCCCCCACTGAAACCTTGGGTTTTCCTGGACACTCCCCAGGATGCTTTATAGAGATTTCATACTTTATCAACATTACTTATAGTTGTCTGTGTATATAAAACTGATAAGAGACTTTTTATACAAGCAATGAAACTCAAAAAGTTGTATTCGTGTCTGCTGTGCTACTGGTCTATTGCTTGCTTTTCTCCCTTATCCCCCCATCTTTGATCAAAATCCCAAGTTTGATTTTGAACCATCCAGAACCGGGTGTCTGACTGGATGACCTGGAAAACAGCAAACTCATCTAATAGGCCAGACTAAGGGCTTTTTATTTGGAGTCTAGGAGTGCCACTTATTGACTGAAGGTCCAGACACAGCAGGTCCAGTCCAAATGTGTAACAGATTGAGAGGGTTATGGATATCCAGCTGGGGAGATGACTCATACTCAGTGATAGCGTATCGATTGTGGGATAATGGACATTGTATGGTTCAATGAAATTTACCCTGGGTCTCATTGCAATATTCTTTCCCTAACTTCCTGTTTTTCCTCTCTCATGATGCGTATCTCATGTCTCAGCTCCGCCTTCACTGCCTCTCTAATCAGTTTCAGCCTCCCAAGCCTACGAGTAAACATGCTAATGATTTGCACTCATGCGTGAGAGGTTTTTTAGACTCTGTCGGCTGTTTTTAGAGGAAACTCAGTGCCCCAAAAATGACAAAAAAGCATCATTAAAACCATTAAGAAGACTCTTGCACACTACACTTCAGGTCTTATAAAGCCATACAATATTTTGTAATAATTTTAATTAGTCCTCTGCTGTAATTGCCATTGATGTCAAACATGTCAATTGTTTTGTACTCACCAAGTCTAAATAAGATTTTAAGAGCTATGCCAGAAGGGAAGATCTTAAGTGAATAACAATGGCATCTGTGCACTTTTTCTTTTGTACACGCACATAGTTTGGAATTTACAGTAATGACAGGAAGTGAATTGCAATCCTAAGAAATCGTTAGGTAATGGCATTCAATCATAATCACCTTTACCCATAAATCTGTCCGTCTGTAAAAACTATAATCCTTCAATCCTTATCAAATGTTCCCTGTTATGAGCCCTAGTGAAATAAACCTATACCAAAATGTATTTAAAATACATTTATTTCATCCCAAGTATCCTACAAATCCTTAATTTCCTTTCTCCTTTAATTCTCCTTTAAAATGCCTTAAAATGCATTTAATATCACTATTAGTATAAGGAGCGTGTCTCTGTTTATATTTATTGTTTTACTTAAAATTAATTTTATCTCCAATTCCTTTGAATTTTTTAGCACTCAAATTCAATTCAAACGTACAAAGTTAAAAAGCATTTGATTAATTTTAGAATGATGCTGAAAATCTAAAAAAAAGAAGAAGCTAAAATTAAAATTGAAAATGAAAAGTTATAATGTTCTATTTATAACATTAATTACCATGAATAATATAAGGGGTGAAAAGGGAATTTTTGTTCTCTTTTTTTGTCCCCCAAAAATGTCCAATGAATGATTATTAACCCTAAAACTGTATTCTGGACAAATGTGGGCAAAATAGTTTTGATTTATTTAAAAAAAAATACTTCCCTTGATCTGAGCAGTACAAGACTTGGCTAATTTTCCAAAGTTTGCCTCCTGAAAACGAATTTTTTTTGACTCAATTCTACAATGTTAAATCGGTGAAAAAAAAAACTACTTAATCTTGTATTAGGGTCAAAAATGGGCACCCATAGAAATGAATGGGAAAAACTGTAATTTAGCTCATTCTAAAATAAGCCAAAATAAGACACCAGATCTTTAGGTTTTAGCTCTAAGAACTTATTGGAATAAAAATAAAACATAAAAATAAGCATAATTTACATAGGAAATATGGTACTTTTTGAAGTAAATAAATTAAAAAATACCCCCAAAATAAAAAACAAACACCATAAATGGATAGACAAAACTTTATCGAAGACAGTGATATAACATAAAAAAAATTAGGATCACACCTGAGTCCTCTGTGCCCACATTTGTCCACAATTACACAATTAAGGGCTATAAATTGAATAGGTTTGGGGTCTACATATGATTAGGTAGTACTAAACTGATGTTGGTTTGTGGACCAGCACAGTCTGGCTCTTTACCAGATTCCACCACAATCAAAAACACAATCTGGTGACTATGAAAAGAGACGAAGGATCCACGTGGGTGGTGCTGTGCTGCTGCTGTCAACAGAATCTCCGTAAAGGACATGGACGTGTGTGTTTACAGCTGACTGTGACTTCTGCTGATTTCAGCTCTGGCGTGCGATCAATGATCTGCAGCAGATGTATGTCTGTGTTTTGAGAGATAGTGTCTGAGTCATTATTGTACGTCTCCACAAGCACCCTTCGGAGGATTTTGTCTCCTAAGCAGGTGTCCATAACAATCGAAACAGTTGCTGACACATTACACCTTATATAAACAAGAACAAGACTGTGCCGCACAAAGCTCTCCATAACCATCACCGGCGGTGGGATCAGGTGATAAGGGCACATCTGAGCGGTTCTCTTCCCAGTCAGGCAGAGCTACATTGTGGTTCTGACACTGAGAGGTTTAAATGAGAGACCCAGTTTCTGGAAAAGCTCTGCGTCTTTGGCAGCAGTCACAGCACTCGGTATTCAATTAGGACACGAGATCTTAACACAGAGACGCCCGCTCACTGATGAAACTTATCCGTAGTCTCACTACTAATCAGACACTATCGAGTGCAGTGCATCTTCCTCGGCTCGCCTGTCACATCCCATCATGCCTGTCTACAGCTTAGCACCACAATCAGCAAAAAATCTAGGGTTTTGTGAAATATTTTTAAAGCAAACAATGGATTTGAAACAGTATCCAGCTATAAATGCTCAAGGTAGTATTGTTGTCACTTGGTCTGATAAGGTTGCATGAGTGGTGCCCAGTTAAAGGTGGGGTAAGCGATAGCCAATCAACATAAGGGGGCGTATGACGATGGAGGAGAGAGAACGAGCAAGAGGGAGATTTGAAGAAAGACCCACATAACCCATTGTGGTTTCGCTCTTCTTTCTAAGGAAACATGCAATTTTTGCTTGGTGAACAAATCAACAACAACAACAACAAAAAAAAAAACAGGCCTATGCCGCAACTCAATTCACCTACTTATACTATGCCCTAAAAGTATGTACTCTTTATGTGAAGAAAAAGTGCACACTTTTGAGTGTGTAGCAGTAGAGTAGACAAGCTAGCTTTGGGACATTCATACTACAATTGCGTCTCCTCAGTCGCATTCTTCTGTCACAGTAAACTGGCCTGTCAATCATCTTGTCACAGTCAAAATCCTCCACATTTCATTTCCTACCATGTCGGATACCGTATCTGCAATCGCGGGTCTTTCATGTCACTCTCCTCATATTCATGCATAATGATGCATTTAAAAGGTTGATGGCCAAACGGATCTTTATAAAAGTCCACATTGTTATTACAGTTGAAATATAACACTGATGACATTAAATAAATATTTTTTCTATCAAGTTTAACTCTGATAAGTCGCTCAAACCATTATCTAAACCTCTCAACGACGGCCGCACATATCCGGCATGTTTTGTCGTTTTATTACACTTTTTACTCTTGTGTATTTCCTCCTCAAAAGCGCAATGGGTTGTGGGTAATATTCACTTCGAAAATCCACCAGAAACAGTAGACCATTCGGAGACTTCTGGCATACTCTTTTCTACATACTATTCTTTGGGACACACTTATTTTAATCTCACACACTGTTTAGAATGGATAGTATAGGCATTGAGACGCAGGGCTACAGACTTTATTTAAGGGACCAGAATATCACAGACATTTGAGGGTGGGGTCTTTTAATTTGGTACACTAAGCAAACACTTAGTAACCACCCTGAACACCCTAGCAACAACATAGCTACACAATAAAATTCACTCGGAATGAAACGACTACGTAGCAACACCCCTGGCAACCACTCAAAACACCTCCGCATCACCGTGGCAACTTGTACAAAACCACTAAAAAATAATTATGCTATAATTTGGCAATTTTTTTTTGTCATTTTAAAAACAGACAGGTACATACTCACAGTGTGTGTTAAACTAGAGCAAAACAATAAATAAAAATAAGTTCATCTAAAATGAAATGATGTAAAATGAAATGATGTAGTTCACCCAAAAATGAAAATTCTGTCAGTATTTACTCACCCTCATGTTGTTCCAACCCCGTAAGACTTTCGTTCATCTTCGGAACATAAATGAAGATATTTTTGATGAAATCTGAGAGCTGGATCACTCCTCCATACTAGCCCATAGACTTCTTGAGGAATTGAAACTTGCCGTCCTCGAAAAGTTATTAAAGACACCGGTAAAATAGTCCAAGTGACTTCAGTGGCTCAATCTTAACTTTATCAAACAACGAGAACACTTTTTGTGCGCAAAAAACAACAAAAATAACGACTTTATTTCCAATATTTGTTTACTTCTCTCTCTGCCTCGAGTCAGGTTACTAGTTTAATTGCGTAAGCTTCTGTTATTGTACGTCACACGCACACACATGACCAGCGTCGGCCAATAGTGAGCCTACGTGTGACGTAGCTCTACGCTATCACACTACGTTAACTGACTAGAGGCGCATAGAGATGGAAGTGAATAGTTGAAATAAAGTCGTTATTTTGGCGCTCAAGAAGTATTCTTGTCGCTTAATAAACGTAAGATTGAGCCACTGAAGTCACTTGGACTATTTTAACGATGTCTTTAATAACTTTTCGGGGCCGGCAAGTTTCAATCCCTTAGAAGCCTATGGAGGAGTGATTTCATCAAAAAATATCTTAATTAATGTTCCGAAGATGAACGAAGGTCTTACAGGGTTGGAACAACATGAGGGTGAGTAAAAACTGACAGAATGTTCATTTTTGGGTGACCTGAATCAATCAATTTGTTTTTGTGCATGTTTATTATTATGTTTTCATTATACACAACCAATAAAACTGAAATCTGTGGCCATCTAAAAATGCTGTGCATTCAAATAGGCCATACTTATGTATGTATATGATCCATGTTTTACACATTTCCTGCTGAGGAAGGATTGTTAGCATTCTTCACGCTTAGAGCGGTTTGAGGCAGGCATGAATATGTAAGCAGTGACTTGTTAAAATGGCAGTGTGTGCTCTTCACTCTCAGAGGTGATCCAGTAATGACCCCTGTCCCACAAGCCCCGCCTCCCTAGTGCACAGCCCTGCTGATAAATAATCTTTCAGACTTGCACATTACAGCTCAATTCTTCACTGTGCGTGATCACATGAACCTGTTTGGCCCTTAAACCAAAGGCTGAATTAATAAAAGCTGATTAGCATGAGGCCTGACACTTGGAATTTCCCTTGGGACAAACCCTGAGCGGACACATTGGCTCTTTATCTGGGGTTAGAATCGTGAATCTCCCCCATCACAGTTTTAACACTGTTTAACCCTTAACACTGTTACACCGTTTTGTATGCATTTTATACTAAATACATACTGTATATGAAGAGTTCAGATGCAAAAGCCTCTAAGTGCCATTGGAAATTTTCTTCTAAAATGATCATTTTTATCAAGCTTATATATTCAAGTTCAGTAATTTCACTTAAATGACAATTAATAGGTAATCCTCATTGGAATTTACGTGAAATTACTGAACTTAAATATACAAGCTTGATAAAAATGATCATTCTAGAAGAAAACTTCAAATGGCACTTAGAGGCTTTTGCATCTGAACTCTTCATATGGACATTTAAATATTTACCATTTAGAGATGGAGTTAAGAGCATCAAAATATGTTTGATACATTAACAAAGTAAAACTGAAATGCATTGGCTTTTCAAAACTACTAACTGCTTATTAGATCAATAAAGGTAAATATCTTATTATGTCACTACACATTATGAAGAGCTCATTATTCTACAGTTCAATTTTACAAAGAGATGCCCCATACAGCTAGATATTATTTCAATCATCTGCTATCAGTACATAATCAAGCTAATTAGCATTCATCATTGAATTCATGCAGACCTGCAGACAAAGACAGGAAGCTGTGGAATCTAGGAAGTAAATCAATGCACTTCATTTACAGTAACCAGGCTTCAGCTACTAAAAGACAATGCACTGGCTGACCAGCTCTGGCCTTGTATAATGAGAGACAATGCAGTCCCTGACCAATCAACAGCTTTTTAATGAAAGACTGAGGCCTTATTGACTTTCAAATCTGCTGTAATGACAGACCAGTCCAGAAAAATGACATAATACGTTTTCTGCAAAAACTGGCACTAAAGAGGTTGAATTGTGCGTTTTGATGAAAATATGTTGAATAAGTAATAGATTAGGCCTGCTGAAAAGGACAGTTCAATTTTTCATTCAACACAACCTGGAACATACTGTAAACACCAACTTCTCATCCAGCACATCTAAACACAGGACACATTGTGCTTAGGGGTTGTATTATTACATTGCACAGACTCAAATCCCAAATAAGCTCAGCAATAATGCGATCACATATTCTAGAGAACTGGACGGCACATTGTTGTGCGGGGTCCATTATGATGCAACAATGCCTCGGATTGGCGTCAGAGTTCTGCAGCAAAAAAGCAATCACAAAACAACTCTTTTCTCACAGATCAATAATGACAGATGAGCGACAAAGCGTCAGACGGTGGGCTTTTGTGTGCGATGTCAGCTGATTCATGGCGAGTATCAGAGCTGTTCGTGCTCAAGTTAATGAGGGCAATCATAGCGCTCAGCACTCCTGTGATTAAATGAAGGAAAACGGGCCACGTCTCTATTATTCTTCTCCGTCAATGACGCTTTTCGCAGTTGGACATTTGGAGGCGTTTAGAGAGTAAGGGCTAGAACGTTCAGTGCTGTTTTATTTTAGTAACACTCACAGCTGTTCAAATGATTCGGTTTAAGAAAAATAATAATAATTCTTTCAAGACACATCTAAGACAACATCCAAAATAACATACAACTATTGAACTCAATATAGCGCTTGATCTCGATGTCGACCTTGCCAGCAAACAGCATCCGTGTGAGACTATAATTAAATAATCTTCCTAGAATACAATCAATCAACACGTTTACGTTTGAAGTCAACATGAAAGCGTGTAGCGTTAGTTCTGGCAGGTCACGTCAGTCAAGCTTGCATCAGATGACTCTCAGCAGATCCACGTCTATAGGAGAATACGACACCTATCACAGCATCCCTATATATAGGCTAAAGCCCATTCAGTATTATCCGCAGCTTTATCACGTTGCTCAGGAGCTAATTTCCCTACTCCATCCCCAGCTCCTCCACTCATATTTGATATTCCTCTACAATGTTGATATTCCTCTACAATTCTACAATGTTAAGTGGGTGAAAAAAAGCTCCTTAATCTTGTATTTGGGTCAAAAATGGGCACCCATAGAAATGAATGGAAAAAACTGTAATTTAGAGCATTCTAAAATAAGCCAAAATAAGACACCAGGTGACAGCAAAGTCACTTCATCTTTAGTTTTTAGCTCTAAGAACTTATTGGAATGATATTTTAAGTGTAGTTAAAATAAAACATAAAAATAAGCATAATTTACATAGAAAATATGGCACTTTTTGACGTAAATAAATTCAAAAATACCCCCATAAATCGATAGACAAAACTTTATCGAAGACAGTGATATAACATTTATGATAAATCAAAATTAGGATCACACCTGAGTCCTCTGTGCCCACATTTGTCCACAATTACAGGAGTAAGGGCTATAAAGTGAATACGGTTTGAGGGCTACATATAAAGTGTGTAAATTAAACTTACATAAAATTTCATAACCTACATACGTGTTTCACAGTCTGTTTTTGTAAAGTAAACATCAATACAACTTCTGAAAGTGAACAGCAGTGTTTTAGTGTAGTGTAAATCAGTGTAAACCACAGGGTTTAGGGTTTCAGGTAGGCCTACATTAGGTTTATTTAACAACAGAAACTGAATAATCAAATGTAAAAATAAAACACTTAATTTTTACTATATGAATTAAATATACTGATTCATATTAAAGCTACAAAAGTTATTTAGCCAAGTGAGTGATTTTCCCTTTGTCTTTTTTTTCATAACCCCTGTTATTGCAAGCTGTTGCGATATGCATATCGATTTACATTTGCGATATTTCTATATATTGTGCAGCCTTGAACCAAACAAATTCAAACTGTATGAATTGTCAATCCTCTTTGATGATAGTGGTCTTGACAGAATCAGTTTTCTTTGAAATAATGTGCACCAATAAGAGCAGGAATGTGCATTCATAAAGTAAATGGGGTTAATTTTGATTTCAAGTTGACTTGAAAGAAACATAGAAGCATACAACGCAATTGTCTTACCTTGGCCTTGCCTGTGCTTTGTAAGATATGGACGAGTGCACAAGCCATCTCTTCTTTGTTCTTCACACTTAAAGCTGGCTCCAGCACTGAGCACATCAACATATAATTGTTAGTAATATACTCTGCAAACTCCTTGTACAGCTCCATGGGAAGGATGCTCATGCTCTGATATCGGGATTTCATTCGGACCATAGGTCCCGGACTCTTTCCTTTGTTGGGATTCGGCGTGCTCACGGAATACCATTTCTCCACAAACTGTCGCCCGGTGACCGCCGCCATGGGGATATTGACCAGGCCCACGTAATTATTTTTGTCCTTCTTTTTCTTTTTGTCCGTTTCCTTGTAAAGATGCACGGTGATACTCTTGACTGAGGGCAGGTTGTTGAACTCAAAGTGTTCGCCCCAGAAAACATTGTCCGTTTTGAGTTTGCAGGTAGTCCGTGCATATAATGTGTCATCCAGACAAAGTTCGCAGAAGTATTTTTTCTTTGCCGGCAAGTCCTTGGCTTCGATAATCCAACATTTCAGCATGTTTTCCACCCGACGGGTGTTATCCTGTGGAATATGAAAAAAGAAAACACTGCCTGTTACATCGACCTCTGCGAGCTGAAGAAAGATAACCCCCGCGTGTACTTTAAAAAGTTAAGCCGGGTTAATGCAGAGAAGTCGATCAGAAACAGTCAATATGCGAGACAGGATATATGAAAAAGTAACATGCTGACTGGCTTAAACCTCATCTCGGCTAGAATTACACAGGATTCGGATGAATCATCCAGTTTACCTTGTTGGGATGCACAGCACGTCTCAAATTCTCCATCCATTTGTCTCTCTCGGCAGCCGATCGACATGAGAAGCATTTGCTTCCTGTTGAAGTAGTTACCTGCAATTACAGATTACAATTGTTACAATTTGCAGATAAGTGCACAAAGTGAGCTAGAAAGGAATGTAATGCAGATCAGGAAGATGGTGGACATGAGCAGAGAAATCTACAGCACTCAATCAATGAAGCGTTTCCCAGGGGTGGAGAACAATTACATTTGAAGAAAGAATAAAACTATCAAATAGCCTAATCAGACTCAGAATGCACTTCAATCAAAATGTATAATCAGGATCACATGTGATATCAGAGAAAAGTGATACAAAAGCAAATATTCTTTTTCAAAATTCAATCTGAAAAGACCATCTGTTGACAGTCGCACCATCCAGGTGACTACAAAAGTATGTTTGAATTCACTAAACAGCATGTTGTATTGCAGCCAAACATTGCTATGATCATTGAAAACTCGTCCAGTTTAACCAGGTGCTATCTGCGTCTGACTCCTATTTAAATATGCATTTACATTTTATTTGAAAAAAATGTTTAAAATAAGTAATTACAAAAAAAGTAAATAAAATTAATTTATATTAAAAAGGGTAATATTTTAGTAATATATTCATTTAAATTATACTAGAAAGAAGAGGTAATTGTTGAATATAATAATAAAAAAAATGAATCAATTGTGAAATAAAGTAATATGAATTATATTTGAAAGACATATTTTAAAAAGTAATAGCAAAATGTAATACAATTAAAATTATTATTAAAATAATATGGGCAAAATTAAGGTGTATCTATATTATATTTTTAAATGAGTAATCGCAAACCTACAAAAATAAATGTAAATAAAAAAAATAAGTAATTGAAATATTCAAATAAAGTAACTGCTAAAATCAGCTTTTATGTAAACAGGTTTGCTGCACATTTCATTTTAAATCAAACGTAAGACTTTTTAAGACTTTTTTTTTTACCTCTTTGAGACAATGCACAACAGATTTTAGGAAAGTATTCTAAAAATCTAAATAGTTCTAAATGAATTAGCCTTCATTCCCATAGTACCTAATTAACGTTTTGCAGCATAAATTGCTTGGCTTCATCGCTGTCATTAATTGTGACGTAGCCTACATCAAAATATATGTAACAAAGTCAAGTTGTTAAGCGAACTGTAGGCTACTACCAAAGACTTGGTGCTACACATAAACGCACATGTTTTTCGATCAGATTTAAGACCTCATCTTAAAATGTTATGTCTAGTAGAAAAATACTAGCATTTGAGACTTTTTGTGATATATTAAATTGTAGTCCAATTCAATTGATAATTTTGACAGTTATAATTGTAGTTTGAATGACTGAATAAACAGAGAAAACAGCAACATCCATAATGGACCTCTGGCTGGCCCCTGCAAAACTCCTACTAACTGTCTCACTCTTTCCAGCTGGCGTCTGGTGCAGTGTAACACTCATCAGCTCCATGTGAACTGGCCTCTCGAAACTCAGAGAGAGAATGAGAGGAGATGTTCAGACAGATGGGACAGGCTCTTTCGAACCCTATCGGGCAGGGGATGCAAAGAGACAGGAATGCCCTTCTGATCTTAAGATGTGCATGCAGATGCCTGGTTCAAGTTTACTGTCACCAGGGATGTGAAAAAATCCACCGAAGTGAGGGGGACAGAAATATCAAGTGTAATGCCAGTTGTTGTTTTTTTGGACTTTTGTCAAACTGACTTGTTTTTAATTGGCTAAGAAATCAAATACAGTGCTGAAAAATAACCAATAATTAGTAGTATATAGTTTAAAAAAAAAAAATTCTAGCACCAACTAGGCCAGCAGCAGTAACTGATCCTGCGTCCAGTTGGGCTTTCTTTTCCATTTTGGCGAGTTCATAATCCACCGTCATTCAACATTACATTACTTCAATAGGAGCAACATGTCCTTGCTTTAAATAGTCTAGTTAGGCTGAAAGAATGTCAATTAACCAAGCGTTAATGCAAGTGTCGTTTTTCTTTATTAGGCAAGTGAAGGTTTTGATTAGGGTATTAGGCACCATTCACATATAGCGCCGCCTTCTCCCGGTGGTTGTGGTCTGGTTGGTTCTCGTCACGTGACCTACGGTGCGCTCCATATGGACGCGCTTGGGAAAAACGTGCGCACATATCCCGCGCCTACATTTAAAATAACGAACTTGAGCGTGCAAAACACGAGATAAGTGAACACTGCAGGCCCTTAGGCTACCTTGAATAATTTCATTCATGACTTTTCTCTCTCTGCCTTTTTAGAATTACACTTTACTGTGGTCTGCACAAACATGTCATTATGTAGCCTATGCATTTCGATGACATTACTTTTTTTTCTTATTATTTTTTTGTGTAGGACACAGACATATTTAGATGTCGTAATTCCATGATTTGTTGTGTCTGTGTAATGTTCCGCATGATGGCCCTGTCATCTAACAACCAATCACCGTGATCATTGCGAGGAAGCTCGTGCATGAAAACTGACGTCATCCATAGCAACGAAGACTCACTCTTAGTTTAGGAGTTGTCATTTTTCCATTTTTCCGTAGGTCTGAAAGGCGTTGTGAATAACTTTTAAGAGAAAACTCCTAGCTAAAATATTTTAGTGCGATTTAGGAGTACTCCTAGTGGTTAGATAAACATTTTTGTAAATACGGCCCCAGGTCATGCAGAGACTAAGTTGTCTCTTTGAATTTAAATCTACATTTATTTACATTGGCTCCGAAAAATGTGCAAAGTGCAAAACATATTGCTCCTTAAGAAATTTTAAGGTACAGTATTTAGCTATTTTTAATCTAAAACAGTAGCATGACTGCTTAAAATTATGATTAGCTTCACTGTAAAAAATGATTTTTTGGTTAAGTAAATACTAGTGAAAAAACCCAATGTAATTTACTTGAAAAAGTTAGTTCAGGCAAGAATTTAAAAAACTAAGTAAATTCCATATCAGTACTTATTTCAAGCGAGTATAAATGAAAGTGTAATATCAACTCAATAAAATTAAGTAAAAATTACTCAACCTTTTCTGATACTGGGGTTCCCATCATGCACTGGACCTTGAATAATTAATGAGGTTCATTTTTCACTGGTTTCCAGCTGTATTTACACTGTTTTATCATTGATTTTTGTTTTCAGTATTAGTAAATTGCCATTTTGTGACATTTCGAGTAAATTTTTTGCTTAAAAACGACACATTCAAACACAAAAACGATCCATCAAATGTTACCACCATTGTGTATTGTCTACCAAGTATTGAGGTGTTTGCATTCACATAAGGCTTAACGTCTGACATGATGTATATATAAATTACTTAGATGATCTAAGTAAAGAACATACTATAAATGACTAATAAAATTCAAGATAATTGTTTTAGTGAAGTGTAATACAAAGGCAAAGGAAATCGGTATTAATCAACCTTTTACAAGCCGAGTTAAAATTACTTATTTTTTGTAAAGTTTACTTAATTCCACATTCCAAGTAAATTTAACTTAAAGATTTCTAATTAAAGCTACTGATAAATATTTTTAGGTTTTTACTTGGCAAACCTTTGTAAATTTACTAGAATTTTCTGAGTGAGATCGTTTAGCAAGGTTTTTTCAAGTAAATCCTACTCCAAATTTTTTACAGTGTTGTTTTGTTTTTCAAAGTAGCTGTTACAAAGTAGCTTTAAAGGTATTTTTGTGTGCTTTTTAAAGCATGACAGACTGCGTAAAAGCATGAAGATTCTTTCAAAATCCCTCCTTTTGTATTCCACAGAAGAAAACTATACAGGGTTGGAAGTGCACGAGGGTGGGTAACTATTACAAATCTAAAATATATTATAAAATATTATAAAAATGTACATTTTATTTTTTTATTTTCAACATTTTAAATATTACATAAAAAAAGAAAAAAATATATAAACACACATTTATTTTGAGGTGAGTAACTATTCTGCATGCAGACACCAGATCATGGTTTTCTTTGTCTGCACCCTTTGACCTTGTAATTATAAGCATCTGGTTTAAGTGAGGCTTCCCTGTAGCACACGTGAAAATCATCCAGTAACTTGACCCGTGGCCCCTCAATGATTTAACTGTGGAGGAGCTAGATAGCGCTGCTATTTTCAGCGAACTATTTGATCTCAGCTAATGGCCTTGATGAAGTTTTAATGGGCCTTTACTGGGTGCTATTTTGAGACTTGTCGGACATTAAAAGTCATTTTCGCAATTAATACAGAGTTGTGGGTTCAACAGGGCAGTAAGTTCAGCTGACTCACCTCAAAGCAGAAATCCTGTCCCAGGATGCTGCTGTGCACAGGTTTGATGAGCACTTCCTCCTCCATACTAAGATCTAAAGCTTCTACTGCACTGCTGGGGCTGAGCAACGACTCGTGAGACCGCGATTCCTTCAGCCTCGGCATCAGATGGGATCTACTGGAGCGAAACAGGAAGAGAAAAACACATGCATCAAGGTTAGGTTTCTTACAATGCATTCAATAGAGTCAAACAGGTATTAGAAGTGAGATGCAATGTGAACTGAAACTAGTGAGCACAGCAGGAGCTGCTGATTTCTGCTCAGCGGTTCTGCTGCATCGCACACAAAAGCCAAAGCTTCCAGGCCTCGTCATGGGATACAGTTTCTGACGAAGATCCAAGGGGCGGCAGCCTGGGAAATGATGAGGCCATGAGCCGTTTTCAGCAAGCTGTAATGAGCCATCAAAAAGTAGTGTCGCTTAATTGGAAGTGAGGTGTCTCTCACATAGGAAATGGAAAACAAAGTTTGCCCTCCAGGTGGTTGACCTTCACTCGGACTGTTTGAACGAAACCACCGAGGGCATGATGAGTTGACTAACACTGGCACAAAAATCAAAAAGGAAGTAGCACACATACACAAACTAAAAGGTGAAAGGGAAGTGTTTACTGGAAGTGTGACTTGTCTTCTTCATGTTTCCTTAGGAAAGAAAATGTCTTAATTATTTCTTTTAGACAATAATGAGATTAGGAGAGAGAGCAAATGAAGTCTGCTGTCTGTGAGAGACTCACACCTAATCCTTCATTTCTAATTTTCTTTTCTTCTTGGCCTGTTTTTGGATGTGTTTTTATGTCCATTGGTCACACCTTCATTTTTACATTTCTAGTATTAGTATCTAGTTAAGCATTCATTTCTTCTCATGAGCATTTAATAGTTTTTGACTTTTCGGTGCGAGTTAAATCTCTTTTTTGGCCAATTTTACCTGTGAAAGAAAACCTGCTTAATAATTATATGCACACCTGAATATGAGGCGTTTTTCACTTCCAGCCTTCCTTAACAATTATATATCATGTATAAATGATTTAATACAAAATTAATAGTAGTTATTAAGATTGAAGTGGTTGAAAATTGGTCAAATGTGCTTTTATTCTGCCAGTCCTGCCTGCTCATCCTGCCAATTACAGTTTAGTGCAGCCCAGAAAGGAGGAAAATGTGCAACCGAATAGATTTTTTCTCTCTCAAATAAGTACTTAGATAATGAGTTGAGATAGCAGATGATGGAATTACACAGCCACAGAGACACTGCTGCTAACAGAAAACAAAGATGGCAGATGAAATTGTAAAAACTCCCTTGGAGTTTTTCTCAAAAAAGGCCCATTTTGCCATCATGGTCCCTGACAGTCAGAATAGGGTCTACAATAACAAGAAATAAGATATATTTTTTTCTGAGGAATGTACAGAGCAGTCAAGGACTGTATAAAAATACTCATCTCAGTCAAATTTCACAGAAGGATGACCAGATTATCTTCCTGTTCCTCTGCTAATTTCCTATGTGCTTTCAAAGGTTTGATGAATGACACACTGCGGACTGTAGGCTGATATTAAAACTCATGTAACGTCCCTCTAGCGACTCTGCCGGTGGTGTCAGCAAATCCACAAATGACCCGAGGCAAACATATGTTTGCTACAAACATCGACTAAAATGAAAATGACAAGGAAACCTACTTTATGCATTGACAGAATGACCGATAAGTGCAACAATGCTGGAAAATATGTGTTTCTTTCTATAGACCCTATCATTTACACATACACTCACCTAGGATTATTGGGAACACCTGTTTAATTTCTCATTAATGCAATTAAACAATTACATGGCAGTTGCTTCAATGCATTTAGGGGTGTGGTCCTGGTCAAAACAATCTCCTGAACACCAAACTAAATGTCAGAATGGGAAAGAAAGGTGAAGGTTAAGCAATTTTGAGCGTGGCAAGATTGTTGGTGCCAGACGGGCCGGTCTGAGTATTTCACAATCTGCTCAGTTACTGGGATTTTCACACAAAACCATTTCTAGGGTTTACAAAGAATGGTGTGGAAAGGGAAAAACATCCAGTATGCGGCAGTCCTGTGGGCGAAAATGCCTTGTTGATGCTAGAGGTCAGAGGAGAATGGGCCGACTGATTCGAGCTGATAGAAGAGCAACTTTGACTGAAATAACCACTCGTTACAACCGAGGTATGCAGCAAAGCATTTGTGAAGCCACAACACACACAGCCTTGAGGTGGATGGGCTACAACAGCAGAAGACCCCACCGGGTACCACTCATCTCCACTACAAATAGGAAAAAGAGGCTACAATTAGCAAGAGCTCCCCAAAATTGGACAGTTGAAGACTGGATAAATGTTGCCTGGTCTGATGAGTCTCGATTTCTGTTGAGACATTCAGATGGTAGAGTCAGAATTTGGTACAAACTGAATGAGAACATGGATCCATCATGCCTTGTTACCACTGTGCAGGCTAGTAGTGGTGGTGGTGTAATGGTGTGGGGGATGTTTTCTTGGCACACTTTAGACCCCTTAGTGCCAATTGGGCATCGTTTAAATGCCACGGCCTACCTGAGCATTGTTTCTGACCATGTCCATCCCTTTATGGCCACCATGTGCGCATCCTCTGATGGCTACTTCCAGCAGGATAATGCACCATGTCACAAAGCTCGAATCATTTAAAATTGGTTTCTTGAACATGACAATGAGTCCACTGTACTAAAATGGCCCCCAGAGTCACCAGATTTCAATAGAGCATCTTTGGGATGTGGTGGAACGGGAGCTTCGGGTCCCACAAATCTCCATCAACTGCAAGATGCTATCCTATCAATATGGGCCAACATTTCTAAAGAATGCTTTCAGCACCTTGTTTAATCAATGTGACGTAGAATTTAGGCAGTTCTGAAGTTGAAAGGGTGTCAAACACAGTATTAGTATGTGTTCCTAGTATGTATTTTATATATATTTAAAGCGACTATAGCACAGGAATTAATGGACGGTCACGGACAGATTACTAAATGTTGCAAGCCTAAATGACCAGCACACTCCAATGAATGCACTTGTGTAAACTGCTAAGCCACAGGCAGCTCCAAACAAGAAAGTAGAATTGTTATCAAAATTTTCTTTCCGGAACATTAATCACTGAAAATCACCTATTAGTAGACAATCACACCATTAAATAATGGAAAGGTCAAGTAGACAGCTGCATGGGCACAAACTTGTTCTATTTGACCATGCATGGGCTCTTCTAATCAGAGAGAGCTAGTGATGACTCAGTGATTCACACAGGTCAAGTTTGAAATAAGAAATTCCTTCATTATAACCAAAAAAAATCTTTGTATTCTTATCAGCTTAACCTGCAAAGAAAGAACAAGTGTACAATGACAGAAAATCTCTTCTTGGGTTTTTTGTACGTACTTATTACTGTTTGCACAATGAAAATCTTGGATTTAAACCAGGAAATAACTAAGCCTAACCCTACACACAACCCTCACAGAAAACATTCTGCATTTTTACATTTTCAAAAAAACATCAATGGGACGTTTTCCTCATGGAGACCAAAAAAATGCCCCACAAAGTAGGAAATACTTAAACCACACAAACACACATATATACAGTCGAACCTCATATTTAGACCACACTGAATATGGAATTTATTTTTGGAACTGATACTGTATTGCTTTATATCTACATCATGATCAAAAAACAAAATAACCACAATTTTTTTTTTTTTTTTTTTTTTACAAAATGCCCTTTACAATATAAAGAAAACAATTTGGCAGGGCATGAAAATGAAACGACAAACTCTACATTGCAGGTTACAGTCCAACATTCCAGCTAATCGGTTATTCCCAGCAAACCCAGTGTTAAAAACAATCATTTTCACTAGAACCGCAGCCATCAAGATTATACAAACAGGAAGAAGAAACATTTCCCAAACTTACTTTTTACTATTCTGATTCAGCATGGTCCCAGAGCAAAACAAAACAAGTCCAGAGGCTGCAAGAGAAGCGAGCCAGTGCAGTGATTATCCTTGATTTTTCTGCAAGATATCAGACGCCAAGGCTTAGAAAACGTGTTCACTATACAGCCTTCTGCCTAAAAAATTCAGAGAGAGGGAGTGCCTTGGTCTCCAAGCACCCTGGGGAACAATCTGTTGCATCTTGAACACACCCAAATCCATTTTCAAGGAGCTCTATTTAAAAACAAATATTGCTCTCGGTTTCAGAGCAGGGATTTATGGATCGTTGCTGCAGTTCTTGTTGAGTTTGAAGTAATAAGCTTTAAAAAGATATAAAGAATCATATTTATCTTATGAATTACAAAATTAAAGGTTATAAGCAATCAGCAATTCAAAGTCTCCACTGTCTCACTGCACTAAAAATCCTCATAATAATGATGACACAAAACAGCCAACTATTAAAAAAGCACTTCCAAATAGGTTTCTTTTTAAGTATGTCTTCATGAGCTAATAAAGGAAGGAAAGAAGGATAGACAGCAGCAGATTGTGGACTCCGCAGACCTCGCATGCCGTAATTAAATTCATGTTGTGGAGTGCAGCCTGCCGTCTGGTCTAAGATTGTGTCCTATATCTGTGGTTGACTGTGTACCGTGTACTCCGCCTCCAAAGGTTCCCACACTCCCCAACAGGAAGCAGTCCTCCCTCGAGATCTCTGCTCCAAATAGGAAATGACTGCCAAGGAAACCAGCAATACAAGCAAGATTTTTTAGGAGAAGGACAATGGCTCAGTGAACCTGGCATACAGTGCTGTTTAACGGAAACTTTCCATACTTACAATATCATTTATACCCCCACACAAAATGCACTACTTTTCAAACGTTTAGGGTCAATAAGGTTTATACTTTGAAAGAAATGAATACCTTTATTCAGTAAAGATGCTTAAAATTGGGAAAGACATTTATAATATTAAAAATATTTCCATTTCAAATAAATGTGTGTATCATTTGATGTTTACAATACCCTTATTTGCCAAGATGGCGGCCAAGTGGCACGACTTGCCTAAAAGGACTTGATGATTATAACATTCCTTCCTCGAAATGTATATCCTTTCTGATTCGGAAAGGTAATTTATTATACAATTTCTTAATTTAAATGACTATTATTATTAAAGTAACTAAAG